CATCATTTTAATTATGAATTGGCCAGGCACGAGCTGGTATTAGGGAGGTTCATTTCCTTCCTTTCAACCCTGCAGACAAAAGAACTGCTCTTACCTACATTGATTCTAATGGAAACTGGCATCGGGCTAGCAAAGGTGCCCCCGAGCAGGTAGCCGTGATTTTCCTCATGCTGGTATGTCCAGTTAGAAAGTTGTAAGGAAGTAACACCTATCCGTGAGTTTTCATTGTCCTGTAACAGATATTGGACCTCTGCAACTCCGAGGGAGATGTTCGGAGAAAGGTTCATGCAGTAGTTGACCAGTTTGCTGAACGTGTATTTCGATCGTTAGCAGTGGCAATACAGGTTTGGAACCCTTCACATTGTTAACATCACTTCATTAAGTAAATTGAGCTAATAATGTTTCTGTTTTCCTTCTCTTCTTTTTTTATTTGTTATTTTTTCAAACTTCTTTATTTTTGCAGGAAATACCTGAGAAGACAAAAGATAGTTCAGGGGAACCGTGGCAGTTTATTGGTTTGTTGCCTCTATTTGATCCTCCAAGGCATGACAGTGCTGAAACCATTAGAATGGCTAAAGACCTTGGCGTGAATGTTAAGATGATTACAGGTGAGACTAAATATTTTACTTAGTTTTAGTTCAAAAAAGTTTATTTATTTATTCCAAATTGATTATTACCTCGCTCACGTTATTCACACCTTGTTTTATTATTTAGGTGATCAGCTTGCCATCGCCAAAGAAACTGGGAGGAGGCTTGGAATGGGAACGGACATGTACTCTTCTTCCTCCTTGTTTTTTGAAGATAAGGATGCTTTACTTGCTGGTGTTTTCACCAAAAATGAGTTCATTGAGATGGCCGATGGATTTGCCGGGGTATTACCAGGTGGTTTAATATATTTGTAAATTTTCTACAAAAACATGGTATCTTTTTTTTCATTCTAATTAAAGAAACCACAGATGACTTAGTAACATCAAGTTTCCATAAAAAAGTAATGATATTACTTGATTTTTGTCAAACTCACTGTTGCCCGGCATAATGGTTCTCGATATTTGTCACTTGTATGCATTTTAAAATATTTTGACTATTGGCCATCCGCCTTTCGAGTTACTCCCCTGATTCCTCTTTCTAACAATTTTTTTCTGCATATACTATAACACAAATATGAAATTGTCAAGACGCTGCAAGAGAGGAAACATATCTGTGGTATGACTGGAGATAATGATGCACCTGCTTTGAAGAAGGCTGATATTGGAATTGCTGTTGCCAATGCTTCAGATGCTGCTAGAAGCGCATCAGATATTGTCCTTACTGAACCAGGGCTTAGTGTCATTATAAGCGCGGTGCTAACTAGCAGGGCTATTTACCAAAGAATGAAGAACTACACAGTTAATTATATTCTAGTTTACCTTTGTTGGCATTCTCTTGTTCATTGTTTCATGGAGCAAATTGAAATGTAGTAACCACAGATCTTTCCTTTTAAATTTGCAGATCTATGCTGTTTCTGCTACCATCCATATTTTGGTTAGTATATCTGAAATTGTCTTTGACAACTTTATGCCACTGCTAAAGGGGTTCTGTTTTTACTGAAAAATATGTATCTTAATGCAGTTGTTTGTTTTTATATTGGCAGTTTAGTTTCCTGATTATTGCCAGGGTGTGGAAGTTTGACTTTGCTCCTTTTATGGTCTTAATTATTGCCATCCTAAATGACGGTGAGACATTCTTTATTGTTAATAATATGCTCCCGTCTTTACTCTTGTTTGGTACAAGCCGGGTTTGACTGACTCTGAATAGTCATGAATCTAATGTCTGTAGGGACAATCATGACAATACCAAGAGATAGAGTGAAGCTATCTCCACAGCCTGACAGCTGGAAGCTGAGAGAGATTTTCACTACTGGCATTGTGCTTGGAGGATACTTGGCAGTCGTGACTGTATTATTTTTCTGGGCTATAAGATACCCCAACTTCTTCTCTGTAAGTATACTTTTGCAATCTTCTCTTCATATTTTGATAACATTTCTCATGGTTTTTCTTAACTTTTCCAATATTACAGGATAAGTTTCAAGTAATTCCTCTGCGCCAGCAGTATAGTCTTGATGTTATTGATCAGTCAATGGTGATGGCAGCTTTATACCTTCAAGTGAGTATTGTGAGCCAGGCCCTCATTTTCGTGACACGATCCCAGAGCTGGTCCTATGTTGAACGCCCCGGACTTCTGTTAGTCATTGCTTTTATACTCACTCAGCTGGTAAGACTCCATATCCATAGCCCTTCCAGTTTTTTGGAACTTTTGTTTGGTTATGAGGTTTCTGCAACTTCTCCATCCCCTTTTCTTGTCATTCTTTTCTGAGGCTGATGTGAGATTCCCGTTCTGAAATTTTCTTGGTAAAATCCTCCAATATCCAATTTGAAATTTTCTTAGTAAAATCCTCTAATATCCAATTTGTTATGCTTTTTATTTGATTTCTTGTCTCTCTTTTCTTCTTTATTAACACATAAAATACTGAAATGCTATTGTCAACAATTCTCCACTTGTCAGGTAGCAACACTGATTGCAGTCTATGCAAATTGGGATTTTGCTAAAATGAAAGGTATTGGCTGGAGATGGGCTGGAGTGATCTGGCTTTATAGTGTTGTGACTTATATCCCTCTCGATATTCTCAAGTTTGCCATTCAGTATCTCCTTGGTAGTAATGTGAGGGATACACTGTTACAGGACAAGGTATTATTCTCTATGATACTTAACACGAAGAGCTATTTTGGTTTTACTATCTATTGTCAACTTCACATAACATCTTTGCTGAGATTTCAGTTTCTCTGTTTCTGTTATGTGCTGTTGTCTTCTAATTTCGTATCTGCTATTCTAACTTCCATTACAGACCGCTACAAAAAACCCTTTCAGTGACAAGAACAGTTGTAGGAAACTCCCAGAGATTGCAGAGGAGGTTGAACGCCGGGCTGAGGTTATCAGGTAAGTGAACTATGTTACAGATAAAAATTACTACAACGTGCATTGAAGCCAAAGAAGAAAAACTCATGAATGGAGCATTTTTGTTTCAAATGGAATCTTTAGGAATCTGATTCGAGAATGGGTATATATTTTCTTTTAACTTTAACTGGAAGATCTTTGCCTTTTATCTCTCAAGGTATATGTGTTGTTACTTAAAAAAGGTGATTTTTGCAGGCTGAGAGAGCTTACACGTAAGGGGCATGTTGAATCAGCTGTCGAGCTGAAGGGACTTGACATTGATATGGCAGCATTTGATGCATCCACTATGGAGAATTTTCTGCAAGAGTTGGACAAGGAGAAGCCGGTGGGATACACTGCTCAGCAGCTGGATGACTTTACAAGAAATTACTCGAAAAGGTTGGGGTCTGGAGCATATGGGGATGTTTATGAAGGGCAGTTTCCAAATGGAGTCAAGATTGCAGTGAAGTTGCTCAAGGAAAAATATGAGGGAGCAGCAAAAAAGCAGTTCATGGCAGAGATAGACACAATTGGAAGAACAAACCACATTAATTTGGTTAGACTTTATGGTTTTTGCTATGATAGAAACACAAGTGCGCTTGTATATGAATTCATGGAAAATGGATCGCTTGATAATTACTTGTTTCGGAAGAAGGAGATGATTGAGTGGGAAAAATTGCATGTAATAGCGGTGGGTACAGCCCAAGGAATTGCTTATTTGCATCAAGGCTGTCAGCAGAGAATTATTCACTATGATATCAAGCCAGCCAATATTCTACTTGATGCAAACTTCCTCCCTAAAGTTGCAGATTTTGGGCTTGCAAAGCTTTGCAGCAGGGACAGTACTCATGATTCAGTTACCGGATTCAAGGGAACCCTTGGTTACTCTGCCCCCGAGCTTTTTCTGAGAAATCATCCCGTAACTTACAAATGTGACGTGTATAGTTTTGGAATGTTGTTGTTTGAGATAGTTGGGAGGAGGAAAAACACAGTTAGTACTTCCTCTGAAATCGTTGATTGGTTTCCAAAGGTTGTGTTGGATAAGTACCAGAATGGTGAATTGGCTGAACTAATAAAAAGTTATGGGATTAAAAAGGAGGACATGGAAAAGGCAGAGAGAATGTCATCAGTGGCATTGTGGTGTGTTCAAGATTCGCCAGGAGCTAGGCCACCAATGAGTGCCGTGGTAAAGATGCTGGAAGGAGGAGTGGAGATCATGCCACCTCCTAAACCCACTCATTTACTGTTCTCAT